AGAGCTGTACTAGGAACAACCAACACCAATGCCTTGAAACCTAGCTAATTACAGACTCCCCTACCTCTTTCTTGTCACTAGCAACTGGCAGAATAATTATGTAATTAAGTTATAGGAGGAAGTAGCAGATTTTCTGAGTGAAACACTTCTAATTTTAGAGAAACTATAAAACAGACACACTAACTTTGCCACAGACAAGAATTGTAGATACAAATAACACCCAGAGTACCAATCTGTAATTTCCCTTTCTTGACCATATTCCCAAGAAAAGTTAGTTGTGGAGTAGTGACAGAAATGATACTTCTCAAATCCAGAAGGTCACTACTGTTTACAACAGGGTTCAGCAAACTCTCCTATAAAAGACTGCAGAGCAAACGTTTTAGCTTCTGGTGGTCTCTACTGCAACACAGAACTCTGACACTGGCGCCAAAAAAAAAAAAAAAAAAAAAAAAAAAAAAAAAAAAAAAAGCCATAGGTAGTACTCTCATGAAAATAAACAGGCCTGGCTATTTTCCAATAAAACTTTATTAATGAAAACTGCCAGCAGGTAGTGGTTTACCAATCCCCAGTGTATAGAATCATAATCAGGTCTGGTTTTAGCTAATTATAAAATATTCTGGAAGTAATATTTTTATGTTTAAAACAAACATACTAGCCGGCTCCGCGGCTCACTAGGCTAATCCTCCGCCTAGCGGTGCCGGCACACCGGGTTCTAGTCCAGGTCGGGGCGCCGGATTCTTTCCCGGTTGCCCCTCTTCCAGTCCAGCTCTCTGCTATGGCCTGGGGAGTACAGTGGAGGATGGCCCAAGTGCTTGGGCCCTGCACCCCATGGGAGACCAGGAGAAGCACCTGGCTCCTGCCATCGGATCAGCACAGCATGCCAGCCGCAGCGGCCATTGGAGGGTGAACTAACGGCAAAGGAAGACCTTTCTCTCTGTCTCTCTCTCTCTCACTGGCCACTCTACCTGTAAAAAAATAAATAAATAAAAAATAAAACAAACATACATGCTTACATATGGTTCTAATTATCTAAGAAATTCATGAAGTAAAGCCTTGGAAGAAATAGTAAAATAGAGTGTAAATAGGAGTTGGGATGGAAGGATTAAGGGTGACTGGTCATATATCCCATCATTTATTTTTAAGCTAAAAAAAAGTAGGAATTACAAAATGGAAGTTATAATCCATTAATAAATAAGTGTGTTCATGGTAACTGCTAAAAGAAGAGGGGAGGAAGTGATAGAGAACAGCACTTACAGTGAGAGCTGAAGAACAATGAAATTAGTCAAGTAAAGAGCTAGTAGGAAAGCACACTCTGCCCAAACTCACAAGCAAGCAAACGCGATGATGGGAATGAAACAGACAAGAGTTTTATGAAAAGAAAGGAGACTGGTGGAAAATAATAAGCAATGGAGAAAGTGGAACACCACCACAAAATGGAAGTTATACCTCATTGCAAGTAACAGGTCTACATCCAAGTCAGGGCCTCATCAAACAGATGGCTGAAAGTGTGGTTTCTAACAAGAGAGGCTCAGAATTTCATTATATCTTAATCTACTAATGGCCTCCATTCCAATTCTTAAGATATCTTTTTTTCACACTAGAGATCTGTTTTCAAAAAATTTGCATAAGCTTCCTGGTCATCTGGTCCTTGAGACAAGAATTTCTGAGCTTCTTTCTTTAAGTTCTTGAGTATAGTCAACAGTCATCATCCTATCCATATTCCTTATTACCCTTAGAAAATTCAATATGCATTTTATTTTGGGGCTGGTATCGTGGTGCATAGTGGGTAAAGCTACTGCCTGTGACAGTGGCATCCCATATGGGCACTGGTTCTAGTTCCAGCTGCTCCACTTCTGATCCAGCTCTCTGCTCATATGCCTGTGAAAGCAACAGAAGATGGTCCAAGGGCTTGGGTCCCTGTCACCAACAGGGGAGACCCAGATGGAGCTCCTGACTCCTGGATTCGGGACAGCCCAGCTCCAGCCACTGCAGCCATTTGGGGAGTGAACCAGCAGATGGAAGATCTCTCTCTCTCTCTCTGTAACTCTGCCTTTCAACTAAATAAATAAACCTTTAAAAAAAGAATAAGCATTTTGTTTTATGCAACCATAAGATTTCTTTACCACTATATGTCAGACTACCAATGTCCATCTTCCCATGATGGTGAGGTCATTACTAAGGTCATGCAATCTGTATTTCCATCACCGTAAGAATGGACTGACTATACTATTTCTGAAATTACTGCATTATTCAGGGTCCAACTATAGATAATAAAATCAAACTCTAGCCACAGTAGAGGTTTTTTTGAACATCAGAAATCATTAGAACACAATGAAAAAGACTCTGGGGTTGAATTTTAAGAAGAATTTACATAACCAGACTACAAATGGGTTGTCAAAAGAAATATTTCCTGCCTTAAATGCAGAAAGCTATATAGTACTTGAAAAGTTTCTGACTCAGGGCAGGTGCTGTGGCATAGTGTGCTGAGTCTCCACCTGTGGTGCCAGCATTCCATATGGACTCCGGTTCGTATCCTGGCTGCTTCTCTTCCAATCCAGCTCTCTGCTTGTGCCCTGGAAAAGCAGTGGGAGATGGCCCAAGTGCTTGGGCTCCTGTACCTGTGTGGGAGAACTGGAAGAAGCTCCTGGCTCCTGGCTTTGGATTGGCTCAGCTCTGACCATTGCGGCCATTTGGGGAATGAACCAGTGGATGGGAGACCTTTTTCTCTGTCTTTCCAACTCTCTGTAATCTGCCTCGCAAATAAATAAAAATCTTAAGGGGAAAAAAAAAAAAAAAAAGGAGGGGCCGGCACTGTGGCGCAGTGAATTAACACCCTGGCCTGAAGCGCTGGCATCCCACATGGGCACGGGTTCAAGTCCCAGCTGCTCCACTTCCAATCCAGCTCTCTGCTATGGCCTGGGAAAGCAGAAGACGGCCCAAGTCCTTGGACCCCCTGCACCCATGTGGGATCCTGGCTTTGGATCGGCACAGCTCTGGCCGTTGTGGCCAGCTGGGGAGCGAACCAACAGATGGAAGACCTCTCTTTCCCTTTCTGCCTCTGCTCTCTCTGTGCAACGCTGACTTTCAAATAAATAACTAAATCTTTATAAAAACAAAAAAAGGAAATTTCTGGCTCAATATTGCACACAAATATTCAAATCACAACCAGAATCCTACCAGCAGAAACAATAAAAACAAGAACAAAGTTTGACTCCCTTCTATCTTCTAAACCCCACATGAATATAACTGCAGCAGTAACACTAAGAACTCTGTCTACAAAAGAATGTGAGACACCTACTTGTCAGTTTTAAAGTTTATTCCAGAAGAAGGTTTAAATGATGTTGACCACCCTTGGTAATAGAACATGAAACACTGATTTCCATGCCAACAGACACACTACTAAAGGAGAAAGCAACTAAAAATTAATTAAAGGAATGAAGTTGCTTAGAGGAAATAATAAGAATTTGAAGATGTAGAGGGAAGGGGTTAAGGAAAGGCTAGAGCAGAGAGGACTCGATTAATGAACTAAAATACCTAAGAACAGTATGACCAAGGACTTGTTTTAAAATACTAAGTTATGAAAAAAATAGGCCACAAGGAAGAATAAATATACTGTTCTACATATTAAATAGTGATTTCTAAGACTTAATTCCTAACCTCAAGAATTAATAGTAGTGAAATAAAACTAAAACACATTGGAATAGAAAACTGTGGTGGTACCATCCCGTAGTGTTAAAGGTAAAGGGGACGTCAAAGGGCTGGTGTTGTGATGTAGTAGGTAAAGTTACCACTTGTGACGCCAACATCCCAAATGGGTGCCAGTTCATATCCTGTATGCTCCATTTGTAATCCAGCTACCTGCTAATATGTCCAGGAAAAGTTGTGCAAGATGGCTCAAGTACCTGGGCCCCTGCTACTCATGTGGGAGAAAAAAGATGCAGCTCCTGGCCCCTGGCTTTGGCCTGGTCCAGCCTCCAGCCATTGCAGCCATTTGGGAAGTGACCCTGCAGATGGATAATCTCTCTCACTCTCCCTTTCTATAATTCTGCCTTTCAAAATAAATAAATACTTTTCTTTAAAGAAAGGGGGGGGGGGGGAGTGTCAAAATGAACAGGACCTTGATGAAACAGTTACTGAGACTACCACCATATGCTATGGGTTAAGTCTTTTTTTAATTCTTAGTGCAATATTAATATTACAAGTAAATTAAGTTTAATTAATTATAAATTTACACATGGTATTTCAAATATTAAGACTTATATGAAAATAAGATCTTTTTTGATCTTAAAAATAAAAAACATTTTAATTTTAGAAAAATGTTTTAGGCAAGGCTTTTATCCTGAAAATTTGTTGACAGGTCTGATAAAGACAGAGCATTCCTATTCTCAAAATTTAAAAAAACTAACAAAAAGTTTGTAATTCCATTTATTCAAAAAACAAAACTACAGATTTAATGTATGTTGTGTGCATTATCTGTTTCTACTTCCTGAATATATGGGAAGCCAGGACAGTTTGGTAGATCTGTGAAACTACTTTTGGTCCATAAAATATGAACACAAGTAACCTAAGTCATCTCTGTGCCAAGGCAGATAAAAGCACACTATGTAGGTCCATCACTTGTCTCTTCTCCAGTGATCTTGGAAATTAGGCATAGAGATGCTGTCATTACATGACAAAGGGGTCTGAATCAATGAGTCAGCAAGTAGAAATGAGCTCCTCAAATACACCTTGAAGCTTTGTTAACCTGAAAAACTGTTATGTCAAACACTCAAGATCCATGGGTTTATTTGTTACCACAGCACAGTGCAAGTAAATGCCCATTTTAAAATTTCCTTACTCTAGTAATTTAGAAAGACTATATGTCCAACGAAATACCCATTTAAAAAAAAAAAAGGCCTAACTTGCTATATAGATACTTAAGCATATTTCATATAGATGTGATATATATACAAAGATACGTGAATAAAAGAAATGCTTAATAACAAAAATATTTGACTTACAGTGTGAGCACATTTCCAAAGGGTAACTTGCTTCATTTCCCTGGGAGAAAAAAAAGAAACAAATAGTCACTAAATTGACACAAATTTAAAGAAAAAATTTAACAAATATTTTAAGTCACAAAACACAAGAAAATACGTCATAAACTAATATGTCTATACCTATAACTCTAATTTTGTCTTGCTGGGTGAACTCATTTTGTGGTAGAGCTCAAAATAAAACCTCTCTGGACATCTCTATTTAAACGAAGAGCTTCCTGAGACTGTGAAGTGAGCAGTTTAAAACCAATGCGTATTACCATATATAACAAATTGCCTGCTTTGAAACAGAATCTTTCTATATGCTGTATAACTAAAATAAGAAAAATATGAATGAAATGGCGAGTCCAATAAGACAGCCACTTAAAACTTACTTCTAATTTTCTGTTTCATGAGAAGTCTTTATCACATGGTAGACTAATTTACCTAAGCTCCCAATTTTTAAAGAATATAAAATCTACAATCTTCTACACTAAAATTCTGTGTGAAATACAATTAAGGAAAAAATGTTCTAGAAACAATGCCTGCACAACTCTTGAAGACTGAGCCCAGGGAGGTCAGGTGTCTGGTGGAAGAGCACACCATCTGATCAGCAGTGCAACCAGCAGCTCTAGATCTAACACGAAGATTCCAAGTGTAACAGATTCACAGAGGTAGAATCATGAAGCTCTTTTAAAAAGGTCTATAGAATATTTTTTTGAAGTTTTACTTATTTGATAGGCAGAGTGACACAGAGGGAGAGAGAGAGAGAGAGAGAGAAACAGATCTTGCATCCACTGGTTCACTCCTCAAATGGCCACAATGGCCAGGACTGGGGCCAGGCCTGGGCCGGGCTGAAGCCAAGAGCCAGGAACTCTATTCAGGTCTCCCATGTTGGTGGCAGGGGCCCAAGTCCCTGATGCCTTTCTCGGTACATTAGCAGGGAGCTGGATCGGAAGCAGAGCATCCAGGACTTGAACTGGTGCTCCAACTGGGATGCTGGTGTGAGTCTTTAAAGTTCAATGGTAAACTGAGTACCAAGCATCCTATATCACATTTATGTAATCCTGACCCTGCCTAGCAACTAAATAGTAATAGGTACACAAAAAGATTAAGACTGAAATATTTGACTAGACTTTGCTACTAAAAATAAAATTTTCTAGTATGGCTGGCATTTAAATTCCCAAAAGTACCTTTAATTCTATGTATAAATAAGGTCTAAGAAAAGTTTTATCAGTAAATTAGCATGAGTTTTTGATCTGTTGCCAATAACCAGTCTTCTTGCAAATTATAGAAGAGAATGGCAATTTTTCAGAAATGGTTAATTTAACTTAAGGTAACTTCAAATATCAGATATATATTAAGGTGAAGATAAAAGAAATAGCAAATTTTGACACTTTTGAGTGAATGTAGGTTTCTGCTTATTTTACATGTCACTTAACTGATCTTAACATTTTCAGTATGATTCCTATTCTTTACCATTTTTTAATTTTTAAATTATTCCTTTCTTTTTCTTATTCTTATCTACTTTATAATTAAGTATGTTTCTTGAAAGACTCTCAAAAGTACACTGATATTTTATTTACTACATTTTGCATTGTCAAGTTTTTGTTTTATTTTGCTAATGAGTACCAGTTTTAAAAATGTAGGTAAAAGGGTTACATGACAGTTTCAGGCAGGATTTTGAAACTAGATCCTTTTTTCTACAGCCCATTGATCTTTACAGTGTTATCAATTCTTTAGAAATTATACCATTCATCTCCTCTATTTATCTGTACCACTCCCAGCTGGCCAGCATCCATGTAAGACCCAAAGATCAGACAGGCCAAGGCTCCAAAGGGCTTCTCCATCAACACTAAATAGCTTAGAATCTGTATTTTCAAATGGTTATTCCAACATCCACTGCTCTAAAACTAACATCATGCCCCTGCTAAAAGTTCAATAACTCCTACTGCCCTCAGAATAAAAAACTAACAATCTTTAGAAAGTCATATAAAAACTTTTAACTGACAGAACTCTTAAGCGCAGGTGTGGCTTGGGACACAGGTATCCCATATCAGAGTGCCAGTTCAAATCCCAGCTAACTGCTGTCAATCCAGCTTCCTGCTAAGGAGCCTAGGAAAGCAGCAGATGAATGCCCTGGGTTCCTCCCACTCAAATAGCAGACCGAGATGGAGTTCCTGTCTCTTGGCTTCAGCCTAGCCAAGCCCGGTTGTAGGCTGTTGTAGGCACTTGGGGACTGAGCTACCAGATGGAAAGATATTTCCCTCTTGCTGTCTCTGCATTTCAGATAAATAATAACATTAAATAAATAAATTTTTAAAATAAACATCTGTATCTGGAGCCACCCTCACAAGTAGTGCCACAGTCTCTATCCTAACATCTCCCTGCTTTTATACTCTGTGTATTGTATCATTTGAACTTTTACATTAAGAATGTCTTTAGTTTGTCCTTCATTAAAAAAAAAATGAACAACCACAAAGCAAAACATGGCAGTATAAAGATTTTGTCAATACAGTTAAAATAATTTTGCCCCATGTTGCCTTCATGCTGAGTCATCAGTAAAAGGTGACATTTTGGAGCTTCATAACCAATCCTGTCCCCAGAATCTTGAGCTTCTATCAGGGAGTATTAAATTTATCATGACTGTTTCATTCACATTTGGCCTATGAGGTATGGTTGGTTAATCTCTGAAACTAAAGCAGAATTATATTTTAAAAAAAGTTACTTTGTAACCAGAAAAACTAGAATTTCTGAAAACAACTTAGTGCTACAGTAAATTTCTAGCTGATAGCTCCCAAAATTGGAAAATAGTGAAATAATGACACTGTGGGAGACATCCCGAATAATACACTGGCATTTACTAAGAGAATCTCTATAAAGCCATACAATTGTATTTAAACACTTTTTAAATTCTTTTTTTTTTTTTGACAGGCAGCGTGGACAGTGAGAGAGAGAGACAGAGAGAAAGGTCTTCCTTTTCCGTTGGTTCAACCTCCAATGGCTGCTATAGCCAGCGTGCTGCGCTGATCCAAAGCCAGGAGCCAGGTGCTTCCTCCTGGTCTCCCATGTGGGTGCAGGGCCCAAGCACTTGGGCCATCCTCCACTGCCTTCCCAGGCCACAGCAGAGAGCTGGACTGGAAGAGGAGCAACCGGGACAGAATCCGGCGCTCCAACCGGTACTACAGCCCCGGGTGCCGGTGCTGCAGGTGGAGGATTAGCCAAGTGAACTGTGGCTCATATAAGAAAGTCTGCAGAATTCAAAAAAATGCACCATATGACCAAATAATTGGCTAGATTACTTGACAATCACTAGGTCCTTAAATAAATCCACTTGCTTTAAGTTCAAAACAGACTGTCCTTATATTGTACTGATTTTTAAAAATCTGTACCTTCTGCTTATCAAAGAATAAGGCCATGTGAACTGCCCTATCAGTATTAAAAAACTAAAAACTCAGAAAAACTGCATGAAACAATAGTTTTCAGAAATTACCTGTGATCATTGATAGGGAAACAAAAGAGATGAACCTTAGGATTGTTCCAGCTTACTGCGTGAAGAAATTGTCCAGGAAGCAGCAGAGGAAGAGAGAACACAGACAGAACTCCCAGGGAGCTGACAAATTGAAAAGTCAGAAATGCCTGCAGTTCAGGAGGCCAAGGAAGTTAGATCTGTGGGAAACAGTACTCTAGAGAGGGCACACACAGATACCTGAAGGAAAGTGTCTTCCAGTTCTAAGTTTGAAAGAAAACTTCCCACAGTCAGGCAAAGAACTAGCAGCAGGTGGACAACTTCTGGGGCTTGCATAGAGCTTGGAATAATTCATGATCCCATAGCCAGAGTGAAGGAATCTTTAAATAATACACTGTACGTTGGGGCAGAGTCCTCAGAAGAGCCATGTATTAAAGGCTGCTCTGGACCTTACTTATAAAGACTAGAAGCAAGCCTCAAAAATATCAAATCAACTCCAAGTTAACCAGTGTGTTCAAAGTAAACCCTAATGCTCTTTTAAGGAATTCAAATCTAACCCAATAGCATAAAATAATGTATGAAACCCAATAAAAGTAACAGGATGCTACAATACAGATGAAACTCAAAAACTGTGCTAAGAAGCTCCCCCACATGTGACATGTGATTCTATTTATATAAAATATCCTGATAAGATAAATCCAGAGAGATAGAAGAAGGCTGGTGGTTGCCAGGCACCGCAGTAAGGACAGAATGAGAAACAGCTGAATAATGGCTATGGGCTTTCCTTCTGGAGTCGTGAAAATATTGTGGAACCTGACAGAGATGGGCTTGATTCAGTTGGAAGAACCTTTTCCTTGGCATAAGTAGAGGAAAACCAGAGATTCAAAGCATGAGGAATTCAATACAAGATAGATGGTGGGATCACCAGGTACTAAACAAAGGCAGGAACAGGAAAGAGAGACCTCAATCCTACAACAGCAAGCAGCTGAATTCTGCCAATGATCTGAAATAGATGCAGACTCTTCCCCAGAACCTCCTGAGTGCAAGTAAATCTGGGTGGCATCTTGATTCCAGCCTTGTGATACACTGAAAACTCAATCACGCTGCAGTGAAATCTGAGGCACAAAATTAAAAATAAATGGGTGCTATGAAAATTAAGTTTCTAGTAATTTGTTACATAGCAATTGAAAGCTAATACTCTGGCATGTAGAATAGGTGGCTAAAAGTAACAATACTGACAACAATACTGACACAACACATGATGGTGAGGAATTGGAGCAACTGAAATTTTCACACATTGCCAGCAGAAACTCAAAATTGAACAGCCATTTGAGTTAACAGTTTGGTAGATTCTTTCTTTCTTTCTTTCTTTCTTTCTTTCTTTCTTTCTTTCTTTCTTTATTTGACATACAGAGTGGACAGTGAGAGAGAGAGACAGAGAGAGAGAGAAAGGTCTTCCTTTGCCGTTGGTTCACCCTCCAATGGCTGCTGCGGCCAGCGCGCTGCGCTGATCCGAAGGCAGGAGCCAGGTGATTCTCCTGGTCTCCCATGGGGTG